TGTAAAGCTCAATTTGGCCTTTTTTTTAAATAATGAAGTGATTAAGAGTACTTCTGCTCTTCCAGAGTTGTGTGTGTGTGTATATCCATGCCCATGACAGACTCTCACACAGACATACAAATAAAAATCTTTTAAAATTGTTTCAAATGTAGTGCATGGACCAGAGTGATATACTACCTTGGATGGATGGGAAAGAAAGGAAGAGGAACAAAGCTATGAAAATACAAACACTGAGGTGTGATTTAGAGCATAGATGGTCGGGTCCAGTGCATGAAGAAACCCCTTGTTGTTATTTTGTTTTGTTTTGTTTTTAACAAGCTGCTTAAAAGTACAGAACAGTTGTTGCATTTAAGGCACTATTCAGAGTATGGGAATACCGCAAGTAAAGAAAGAGTACACTACAGCAGAGGCGTGTTTTTTCTCATTAAATTTATATTTAATTTCCCTAAAAGAAAGACATAAACCATTCAACTAAATCACTACTTATTTGAACAAAGTTGGTATATCATGAAGAACAAGAAGAAATGAACAAGAATTATGTCATGGAAGAAGTAGGTGTCTCTGCTTACTTCTGAATGATACATGTGAATTTAGAGAGAAAAGAGAGTAAAACGTGAGGGACAGACCCCTGGGGGGAAGTATGAACAGCATTTCAAAGAAAGAATAATCTATCACCAATGCTGCAGACACAGCAGAAAGGTCAAGAGGTCTAAACTGAGTTCAAGTTAGCAATGTGGAAGTCCTAGTGTCCTTGTAGTAGATGTTTTGGTGGAGTAGTAAGGCAAAGCAAGCATTCAAGAGAGGATATGGAGAAGAATTGGAGGTTGGTCATCTAAAGCAGCTTTCTGATGGTGATTTTGATGAAATAGAGAAAGCTAACAAAGTGCTGGGTTGGTGGATTATAGGGTTGCTTTAAGGCATTCTCTTTAATGCCTTTAGGGTGAGAGGCAATAAGTTCAAATGAGCAATCTGATGACTTGTGGTTTCCTTACTATGTGACATCCTTTTATGAATGCCATCTCTGAACCTGTGATGGATAGTCATAACAAAGCTGTGTAAGATCTGGTTACTGAGAGGAAGTAGAGCAACATCTACGTAGACAGCAACAATATAGTATAGTAAGCATTGTATATATACCAAAGGTATCGGGAATGATGCTAAGGGAATACAACAGGTTGAGCAAATCATTCTGTCATTTGGCATTCTAGTATTTTTAATATCACCTAATAAAGACATTTATTTTTAAGCAATTATATGTACTAGTGTTAAAGAAGCTATTATCTTTTTAGTAAATTTTACCTCAGAATAATTTAGATACATCGTTATAAACTACTCTATTGTTACCTATAATCTTAACATTAGAAAATCATATCCCATTTGTGGGGAGTTTTCAGTTAAACATAGTTCATATTTTTAAAGGCTGCTTGCCATTAATCTTGAAATAATATTCAGTCAAACCACAAAATATTTATTCACACTTACTAGACCACAATAAAAAGTACAACCCCAGCTACTATAATGATGCCAGTTAGAAAACTCCAGATGTACAGCACATCTAAATAACAAAGCATTGGTTAGAAGATAAGGTATTAATGCAGAAGTGTGACCAGGCTCCTGGATAAGATTCAAAGTGAACTCCAGAAGTAACAGATGCCCTATCCTTTTAGAAATAACATTTTACTCTAAGAGGTAGTGAATAACAAAAAAAAATTTAGAGGAGCTGTAGTTTTCCTTTCTTGACGGCAGTTCTCTCTGTAATTTTTCTCATAAAATAATAATACTAACTGCATCCTCAAAACTTAATGCAGTGCTATGTAAAGATAGTACATTTTCCACAGTAGGTTTTATAGATTTATAAACATTTATGTAATGGTAGATCAAATGTGTTTTAATTTTGTGAGCCAATGTTTTTGTTGAATTCTTAAGTATATGATCTTAAAATATATGCATAAATCACAGTATATACTTAAGTACACTACAACTATAAAGTTCTTTTACCATTTGAACTTAGTATCTCATGAAAATAAATCTGTTTCTATATTTTAGTGGAAGAGGACATTTTAAAGTAACATTGAGGTTGGGCAGTGGTGGTGCACACCTTTAATTCCAGCACTCAGATCTCTGAGTTTGAGGACAGCCTGGTCTACAGAGAGACTTTTGGGAGAGACAGGCTACACACAGAAACCCTGTCCCAAAAGAAAAAAAAACTAATATTGACAAGCAAAATTATTTAGTTTTACCTAAGTCAATGTCTAACTATTTTTTAAATATTTATTTTAAATTTTCATTGTTGGATTTATAATAATAACACAACCCTGATTTCTATTGCTGTGATCAAACACTATAACCAAAAGCAACTTTTCATTTCAACTAACATATATGTCCCTCATAGCCCATCCTACAGGTAAATCAGGTCATGGAAAAAGGGATAGAAGAATGGGCCACTAATAAAAACTGCTTAATGGTTTACTTACTCAGTGTGCTTTCTTATATTCCACAGAACCACCTGCCCAGGGATGGCACCACTGGGCTAAACTTTTTCACATCAATCATCAGCCCTCCCCCCAAATAAAAACAAAACACAGGCTTGCCTATAGGCTACTCTTATGGAGACATTTTCTCAATTAAGATTCTCTCTTCTCAGATATGTCTAGGTTTGTGAAGGTTTCCAAAAATCAACCAGCACATCTGATTTCTCGAAAAAGGAATTTTAATTCTTTCTGGCCTTTTCTGAAGTCTTTGTATTTTCCTTCAATTTTGTTTTGGTAATGTACAGTATAATTAAGTTAAATAATGACTTCCAGAATCATCAGTATAAAAGTCATATACATATTTGTTCCTCTAGCAACTGAAACATAAATTAATGGGTTAACTCTGTTAGCATCTTAGATATTACCCAGTTGCAATGACTACATTCTGCGTGTCCTATGCTATGTGAGAAATGTCTCTGCTCTTCTTGTGTTGATACTTGACTCCAGACTACTAATGCTTTTAAAACCAACACATGAGTTTTTCAATACATAACTGTTTGTTTATTTGATAGTAAATGAATAATTCTTATTTATTAGATTTTTGCTTTTCAAAACAATATTTTGGTGGCATGTAAAGGTGCTATTAGCTGCATTAGTTTTGGTATGCATGCTAAAAGAATAAGTTGTGGCTGTCTTGGAAATGTAGCACTTATAAAATGAAAAATTTGGGGAACTGATCAATAAAGCAATGGAATAGGAATTTTTCAAAGACGACTTCTTACCTGCTCGCCCTACCCTTGATGGGCAGAATAGACGGAACTACGTCATCTCACTCATTGTTACTGTGCAAAAAGAGCAGAGATAAATTACATAAGAATGTTAAAATCATAAGCGACAACTTATAAAGGCAGTTGCAAGCCTTGAAAGATTAAATAATACCACAGTGCTGCCTCATTAATAATTTTATCATGTCCAGTCAATGCTCAGACTTTAAAATAGCCTAGCAAAATATACTAAATAAATTTTATCTGTATAGATAATTCAAAGGTATAAGGTTGGTGTATTTTTCTAGAGGAGTTAAAATCTCCTACATTTCTTAATTTTTTTTGGCTGGTACATAAAAAAGACATGAAACTATAAGGGTAACTTCTAGAGATGCAAAAGAAGGGATCAGCAAGAGAAGAGTAAAGGACAGTAAATGTGACCTAAATATGCTATCTACATGTATATATAGAATTAACCCTCTTAGTTTTCATAATTAATACATGTTAATTATCTGACAAAAATCTAATTTAATTCATGCAGTGAAGAAAGAGGTTAACTGAAAGATTAAAAGAGAAAAGATTGCTGAATCTGCCATTCTATATGCAGTTTCATTAGAAATATATAAAGTGGTACGTTGAAAATGGTAAATGTCACCAAAAATTATGTCACAGCTGGTATTCATATGCCTTGATTTGAATCCTGATATTAGGCATTTACCAGATGTGTTTCCTTGGACAAATTATTTAACAGGTCTCAGTTTTCTCATGGTAAAAAGGTAAACCTTATCCTAATAAGCATAAGGTTTTAATGTTCCAATTCTTATAAAACTCTTAGGAAGTACATGACATAGAGTTAGTGTTTATATGCACTTTTATTGTTGTGATATCTTGTTTTTATGATCCAAGTTTTATAGATTTCTGGTTTTCATTGATTCAGAATTTATTAAACTACGACCTTTTGTCATATATATCTTTTGTCAACTTTTGGGTGATTTGATTTTCATTGGCTATTCTGTACTTCAGGAAATTTAAGTTGAACAAAATACTTGACTGCTCTACCAGGGTCTACTACGTGAAGTCTTTGCTATGACTGCTGCTTACTAAATTAAAGTGGTATTTATTGAGGAAAAAGACCCAGAAAGAAATTGGACAAAGAAGTGACTACTTGATTCTACAAACTAGACAGACATACTTATTGTATCAAAATATGCAGGTCTAGGTTTAAGGCCATGAAACAGAATCCACATATTGCTAAGACAGGGTAATATCCAAGTGCATGTTGCTATAATTTAGTTAAAATTAAGTTAGTTTGTGATAGTATATCAGAAACAGCAAGTTAATGTTCTTTCTAAAAGTAAGGTTAAATGCAAGGTTCCATTACCTTAGAAGTATCTAGCAATAACATAGATTTAAAGGCATTATGGAATAAGACTAAAATCTATTACTAAACTAATGAAAAGAAATATGGAAATAGTGATCTTCTTTGTAAAATATTATATAACCTTACTATCCAGGACTCCAACGAGAGCAAACATGGGATATTCTTTATTAACTCTAAGAAGCACTTTAAACTAGTATTATCTGGACAGTTCGCAGAGGCAGTTTCACCTTCTGGCTCAAAACACACATTTTCTTCATCCACACATGCCAACCATAACGTTGCATATGAGAGTGTGTTTTGTATACTGTAGCTGAAAATATAAAAAGTATAAGCCTACCTGGGGAAGAAAAACAATGTGATGTGAACTTTGTTCTCTGTGTTTAGGCAAGCTACGACCTATATCTATGCCAGTCGAATATAATTGGGTGGGGGACTATGAAGATCCAAATAAGATGAAGAGAGATAGTAGAAGAGGTAAGTGTTCTAGAATTTCAGTGTAGGGTGGGTTATTTGAACAAAAAGCAAAATTAAATGTTTTTAAAATAGATTACTATGGCGTTAGCAAAAACTTACTGTCATTGACTGACAGTACTACTAAGTGAAGCCAGACCAATATTTGATTCCCCTTAACATTAGTAATGGGTGTTTTATATGAATGCCTTCTAAGATGTTCAAGGCAGATAATTACACAGAGAAAGAAGAAGATTTGTAAATTGAAAGTTTATATTTGGAAGCAAGGTCAGAAGTGTGAAACTGCATAAAAGAATTCATTTCAGTTCAATAAATAGAACCAGTTTTGTCATCAGTCCCAATTAATCAGCAGTGCAGCTGACTTCGTCCATGAAACCTCATGTGATGGAACCTTATCATGAGCATTGAAGCACGTAGGTTGGAAAGAAATGTATGGTGGAAACTGGGCCGGTGACTCCTAACAAAAACCACAGAGAACTGGGGGAACCGGTGCTTTCTGCTTTTTCTGTTCTTTGCTGTTCAGGGTTATTCTCTTACCTGGGAGTGGGCTACTTTTTAAGTATCTACCCAAAGTAAGTTTTTATATTCACTTAGGCTATTACTGAGGTGAGCAGTAGGAGGAGCAAGTGAAACCTTCACCGCTTAGTAGACTTCCCAAGTGTAGATAAGATGGGCCCAGCTACTGATGCTCCTTCTACTTTCAGAAGAGCCATAAATTGTAGATGGACAACAAAACAAAAGCCGTTCCTAGAAACTAGGCTTCCTTTATGGTATGGTTGACCCATTTACTTATCATTTCTATCCAATAAACTGTAAAACATCCACAGATCACATGGGCAAGCAAGCATAAATGTCTGCTTCATAAGTCTCCTTAACACTTTTTTTTTAGAGTGAGATTTAAAAATGTTGAGAAGTTCAAGGACACTGTCAGATTCCTTTGCATACATGTATTAATTCCATTTTCCAAGCTTCAGTATCTAATCTCATTAATTTTATTGGACAAATCAAGAAAAAATTAAAATGTTTATGATATGCCATCTCTAAGATTCTTTGGGACTTCTTACAATAGTGACATCCTGTGGGAAATTTTTATACTAACTACTAAATGCTGACTACTAATTTAAGGAAGGATTCTATGAACTAAGTTTATAATGTGGCTTTAACTTCTTCAAGAATGTTACCCAAAACATTGGAGGCTATTGTTTATCATCAAGGTTTAGGAGACTTTTCCTCGGAGCTTCCTAAAAAGTGTAAGTCCCACCCATACAGAGCTTAAAGTTTAAGTTCTACAGGCGATTTAGATGTAGTTACTTCAGAGTTCAGACCAGAAGAAATAATCCAAAGGATATGTCTTATTGTCTTAGGATACCAAATAATTACGTTCTACTATTATCACTACATATATTGTAAGTTAAATCAAGGTAATGAGTGGAATCTTACAGCACGATTTGGAAAGAATGGTACACTTCAGATATTTGCATATTTATGTCAGTGTATTTCTCTTTTTATGTAGAAAACTCTCTACTTCGCTATATGAGCAATGAAAAAATTGCTCAAGAAGAATACATGTTTCAGAGAAACAGCAAAAAAGACACAGGAAAGAAGTCAAAAAAGAAGGGTGATAAGAGTAACAGTCCAACTCACTATTCACTGCTACCTAGTTTGCAAATGGATGCATTGAGACAAGACATCTTGAGCACACCAGTTCCAGAAACCACACTGTACCATGTAAGTAAACTCCAAAAGTCTTTCATATAGCTTTTCTTGGAAGGCAAATTACTTTTGTTGTTAAAATCCAATTTTTTCCCATTGCACTATTTTTATAAAAGACTCTAACATTAAAAATTGACCTTAAAATTATTAGGGATTTTTGCAACTAATTAAGCCGACCAGGTTCCTTTCCCCTTGGGGCCCTGGTGTGCAATGGTTGCAAACAGCAGCCTCCTTGGTAGTGTACGCAGCCTGATACCTGTACGGGTTGCCCTAAGGGACCTTGGAGACAATTTTCTGGCACTTATTCAAGTCTCTGATCTCAATGCTGTCTCCAATGTAGGCTCCAGACAGGCATGCGTGGTACCTTTGGGAAGCCCCAGGGCACAATGGCCAGGGTTCACATTGGCTAGGTCATCATGTCCATCCGCACTAAGCTGCAGAATAAGGAACATGTGATTGAGAGTCTTCGTAGAGCCAAGTTCAAATTCCCTGGCTGCCAGAAAATCCACATCTCAAAGAAATGGGGCTTTACTAAGTTTAATGCAGATGAATTTGAAGACATGGTTGCTGAGAAGTGACTCGTTCCTGATGGCTGTGGGGTCAAATATATTCCTAATCGTGGTCCCCTGGACAAGTGGCGAGCCGTACACTCCTGAGGGCTTTCATGGTGCTCTCCTGTACCCTACCAAATCATGTTCAGTAATAAATCTCACATCCAGAAAAAAAAATATTAGGGATTGATTCATTTTACAACTCATGTGATCAAAGTATTCCTATTTTGTAGCAACATCCTATTTAGTGAAATAACTTAATAGGCACAGTATTGATAAAGAAGAGTAGTTAAGATTTGTATGTTAATAAATACTTGGGAAGGTCCAGAAATCCAGATTAGAGATCAAATGCTTCATATTTCATGATAACACTTCAAAAGGACCACCTGCTTTCTGCTAGCTAGGAAAACTGGCAAGACACCGCACACGATTGGGGCTGGGGGTATGGCTCAGTTGGAAATCTGTTTGCTGCACAAGTGTGAGGACCAAATCCAGATTTCTAGCACACAGGTAAAGTCAGGCATAGCGGCATTTGTAACCACACAGTCCTGTACTCCTAGTACTAGGGAAGTAGACACAAAATACTCAGAACTCACTGCTTAGACAACCCAGCTGGATCAGTTGTTCCATGTTCAGTGGGTGACCTCTCAAAAGTAAAGTAAAGGGGCTAGAAAACTAGCCCAGTGCTTAAGAGCACTGACTACTCTTCCAGAGGATGAGGGTTATATTCCCAGCACCCACATGGAGGCTCACAGCCTTCTGTAACTTCAGTTCCAGGCGTTTCAACACTCTCTTCTGGCCTCTGCAGGCCCTAGACACATACATGGTACACAGACATATGTGTACACAAAGCACCAAGAACATAAAATATATAAATGTTTGAAAATATTGTGAATGGAGGGGGTGGTAGAAGAAAACATTCAAAGACAACTTTTGGCTTCCATGTATGTGCACACACACAAATGCATATGCAAAAGCACATATGGGGGAAATATGCTGATATTTCCAATTTAATTTAACTTATATATGGGAGTATGCAAAAAGTGTAGAAACAAGGAAAGATACCATACTCTGGGAAAAATAAGAAAAAGTGTCATCATGGGCAGCAGTTGAGGCAAGAATGAAAAGTTTGAGTAGTGATATTTTAATGAGAATGTAAATGCTAATTATCACAAACGAGATGTTCCAGGGATTCCACGAGGTTCAGAATTGCTAGTTTGTTAAAAAGAAAACCTGTGAGTCATTGTATGAGGAAGAGTCAATACATTACCTACAAATGCAGGCAGAGTTAGATCAGGAGTTTTGTAATGGAGTTTTGAGACTCCCACAGTAATATAAAGAGCTCATTAAAGAATTTTGGGCTAAAACCATATGATCACATCGGCATGTAGTAGTGTTCTAATGAAGGAGCATCACTTGAAAGGTCAAAGGCAAAGCCATTAAATCCATCCCAGATGAATTATGAGAAACCAGAATAATAACCATGCAGAAGCTGAAAATCTTGTTAGTCAATAACATTCCTTTAAAGCTTCAACATGTTTCAGGCTACTTAGGATAGAGTTTGTTTTAACAATAGAACTGTAGCTTCCACTTCCACTTGACCATTGAAAATAGACTAAATTGGGCTGGGGAGATAGCACAGTCACTAAAAGTGATTGTCATACAACAGGGGGACCAGAGTTCAGATCCCTAGTACCCATATAAAAAAGTCAGGCATGGTAAGACACACCTATAGCTCCAGCACAGGAGAGCCATGGAGACAGGAAGATCTCTTGGCTTGCTAGACAGGTAGTGTAGCCTAACTGGTATACTTAAATTTCAGTAAGAAACCTTGCCTCAAAAAAGGTAGAGAATTCTGGACATCCAAAGCGAACCTCTGACTTCCACAGGTGTGCATACATGTGCATACCCATGTAAATGCCCATGTTCAAGTGCACACACATGAATATGTACATACATGGAAAAGATTATGAGATCTTGAATTAGTAGTTGGAGAAATAGAACTTAATGCTCAAAGTATCAAATCTACCATATTGTTAAAGTATGCCATCTAAGTATGCAAGATGTGAAAGAGTTAAGAACTTTATTCTTGAACTGTCCCTCAGGATTACTATGTTAAATTATCTTTCCTAATCTCATAAAACTAGGTTAGAAAAAATGTTTTTATCTTTGTGGATTAGAGTTTCATCAGCTTCAATGTCCACCTTCCCTTTCCCAAAGTTCATATTCCTTGTCTCTTCCTCTACAAGAAACTAAAATGTCTCAGCCAAGCCCTTTAAATAGCTGACAAATCATATTATTCTTTCCAGCAACATATGAAGGGCATCTAAAAACAGTATTCTTTGATAACCTGTGAATGGAGCTACTTTTGTTATCATCACAACTCAGAAGAGCCATGCAATCACTGAGCTTCCTCTAGAGCCTGGTTCCAATTTTGAGTAACATCCTGAACAAAGATCTCAAGATGAGAGACAGCCAGCCTATTCAAGAGCAAAATTGGTAGTTAGAGATGAAGCTGAAGAGGGAACAAGAGGCCACTTTGATTCAGAGTAGACTAGCTGGTAGAAAGTTTGGATTGAACCTTAGAAGAGCAGTAATCAATCAAACACATTTATATATACAGTGTGTTCCATTCTGTCGTGCATGGACAGACTTATGTATACAGAGAAAAAAATAGAGAATGGCCCTGGAACATTTGAATTATTGAAGAAAGGAAGGCCATAAAAGGCAAGTCCAACTGCTAAGAATATTGTGTATTATTACTTAGGAGTAAAAATTGTTGCTACTTTTTTAAAGAGCATTCATTATTTACTGAGGAAAATCAAAACCCTGGTTGAGGAACTTCATTTCTAGAGGCCCATTTAAAAATGAACATTTTTTTCTTTCTGTTATAGTTTCATGAAAATGCAAGGTCAATATCAATATGTAACTTAATCACCTTCATTATTAAATGTTTATCTTCATCTTCCCTGATTCTTTGAATAACATGCGTGTTTTTGATACAATAGGATTTAAGGGAAAGATTGAACACTGAGTTTCATAGGTCACTGTATCTGCTATAGTACTAATTCCATGGCATCTACAGATGTTTGCATTCCAATTTAGATGAAATGTTAATTTGATATCAGGATTATATCAGCATTTTATAGTAATACAGTACCTTGTTAAGTTGTGGTGACTAACTCCACTAATAAGGAAGTGACTGAACTGGAATGTTAGTGCCCTTTTCAATATTTTTGACTTGGAAATAGATCCTTTATGCATGTCCTATTACAGTCCCAGGAAAGGCAACAAGATTAACTCCCTCACACCATGTCTCATACACTCTTGGACAGAGCTTCAGTGCCAGCCAGTCCTTGCTTTCTTCCCTTCTTGACCATCTGATTATAGAGATTCCACTATGCCTACCTCATCAGCTAACATTATTCTTCATTCCTAACATTAGTTTTACTTGTAGGTAAAATAGCTCAATTCTGTCTGAAAATGTGGAAGTTGCTAACTGCCCTTAGGGCACACAAAGAAAAGACAAGCAGTAGTGTATGTGTGTTTGTATGAAATCCAAATGTAGTAAGTCTTTATAAAGATAAATAACTGAATTGCCCTGAATCTCATCTTTCAATATTATAGAAGAAATTGTTACCAGCTTTCCAAATGGCATTATTCAGTGAAATAAATCAAGAACCTACTGAAGTAACTTTTAAAAAAGAAATCAGTGTACACTTTTGCTTAGTGCAATATACACATAACGATATGACAATAAGCATATTTCATATCTCATTAAGACTGCAAAAAATTAATAAATTATTTTAAATATACATGCAGAGATATCAGAATGAATAAAATGATTGTATATCCATGCACCATGCTTTCATAATATGATTTTAAAATAGTTTGTTAACAGATTTTTAGTAGGTGTTGAAAAACCCATTAACACCTTTCCTAACATCCCAACATTCCTCTAATTCATCTTAATTTTTAAGATGTGAGTAGAAACATTTAGCTGTTACATTATTTCTAATAAGGAGGTTTGCCCATTCTGATAAATTTGTGAGGAAATATTTTGTTAAGTTAAAAGGTCATTGGAGGGGTGTTAAGACTTTTTATTTGTTTATTTTTTAACTTAACAAATTAATTTTTTTAACAAATTTTTTAATTTGACCTGCAAAAGGACATTATACTAAGCACGTTATAAGTATTATTTCAACCTCAGTAAGCTATGAAGAAGGTACTGGTGTCAGACTCATTTTACAGGTTAGGAAACTGAAACACAGATATTTTTTTTTAATTGAGAAAAAAAAATTTCCGCCTCCTCCCAGCCTCCCACTCCTCCCCCCCTCCCCCCACTCCTCTCCCGTCCCCCCACTCCTCTCCCTCTCCCCCCACTCCTCTCCCTCTCCCTCTCAAGTCTGAAGAGCAGTCAGGGTTCCCTGCCCTGTGGAAAGTCCAAAGTCCTCCCCCCTCCAT